CTTCACACACGTTTTCACATTATTTTAATTGAACGCCTGGGCCGCATCATTGGGGACAGGTTTACAGCCCAACGTTTTTTATGGACCACAATTCACATCACCATCATCGCTGATGTCTGCACAGCGGATTACAGGACGAGTTCAAGATAGCCTGACTTTAAGGCTAAGCTACATAAGTTTGAGAAGTTTATATTGAAGGGACAAAATACCCATCTGTTTAGATTCATTGCATCTTCTAAAATGTTTTTCAGAAACTGAAACTTTCATCATCGTCTGGGTCTGGTCTGTACTTTTGGTTGCTGATTTTTATGTTTACCTGCCTGGGGTCCTTGCAGCTTTTGCAGACAGCACTGGTCCCGTTAGCATCAGCAACAGGACAAATATCAGCGTTGAAAAGTTAAAACAGAGCATCCTTCCTGTACTATTGGAAACGAATCATTCTAGCGTCATATAAAAAATATTGTTTTAAAGCTCATGCATGATGCATTATAAGCACAAATTGTGTTGACATGTCAAATGTGTCAATGTAATTCACGAAGTAACACACATCAACCGGAACATTTTTTTTTCAACCCAAAGATTTTTATTCTCCAAACTTCTATGTATACGCACTTTTACAGATTCTGAATACTTATATGCGACATATTTCACCTATAGAAAATGCTCAAATCAATTTAATTTTCCTTTCATGCATAGAAATAAGGTGAAGATTTAAAATAGCTTAAAACATTGAATGTGATTTACAACTTTTTGATTTGGAAAAAAAAGTCTGTTTGGAGTTTATTAAAGTCGACTCCTTGACATGATTGGAAAAAAGCGTTCTTGTTGACTAGATGGAAATGGAAACTGAAAATTATTGTTAATGTTTTGTACACAAACAGCAGCTTTTGACAACAAAAAGGCAGAGTTTCCTTGCACTGAAGATTGGCTGCACAAGAGTGGTTGCACACAGTGGGGCCTTGAGATATTGCACACAGTGAAATCCATTGGCTTATAAAGTTCGTTCATTTGGTCTCTTACTTGTCTAACAGTGTCTAAGATGTCTACGTCTGATGTCTAATGATCAAGGAATTAATTTTGAGTTTTCCAGAGGTGTAGGTAAGACAGTACACATGTATAGGGTTATTATCCTGCACAAGCACAACTGCTGTTGCAGGAATTTATATACCTATCAAAAAGCCGTTGTGTGTGTTTCTTTATATAGTTTAATCTTACGGTGGTTTGGCCCCTTTTTTTTGACGTCATGTGGTATCACCGTTCTTTAAACAAAATCTCTGTTAAAGCGCATGATAATAACTGTAAGTATACGCTATATTTCAAAATTTCTCTTCAAATACATAGTTATCGAGATGATTTCAAAATTGTCGAAAAAGAAAGACATTTTTGTATGCTATATGCACCTTACTTTCTTTTTCAAAGATACCCTCATGGTAAGAATACATTGCCATTGTTAAAATTTATGCTTGCTTTAACAGAAATTTTGAAATGTTAGTACAACAGAAAATTTTATGTTATCTTCGAAAAACATGCTGTTTTAAGATCAGTAACTGGCGTATATGGAGATATTGAATCGAACCCTGCAAAAGTTTTGGATGTATTTTTTAATAAGTTTTATCAGACACAATTTACTTGCGAATAATAACAAAGATTGTTTAAAAATAAAATGAAATGAAGCATAATATTGTTACTGACCGACTTCTCGTTGAAATCTCGTGTTAGCTGGTCAGACATATAATTCATGCAGACGCTCATTAATTTAAATTTACATAAAGCGTCTGCCACCATAATTATGTTGTTCAATAAATTATGAAAATGAACAAATTTTCGTTGGAACAGAAGGTTATTGTCTTGAAAATTGTTTGTGTATATAATATTTTTAATTGATGGACTATAACATTTTGTTTTAGCTCATTGTAATCTCTATTTTTTAGTATTTTATTCGCTGTTACATCCGTGACACATGTCTTATTTAGTAACGTAGTAACGTGAAATAGTACTGTATAATATTATTAAAAGTAAAAAATGTAATTTTCATTAGCTAGGACTGTTTGTAATATCCCCCTCATTGTCAAACTTTTTGGGCCCGAATGCCCCGCCCTGTTTTCTGTAGAACATGTATGTGGCGAACACGCCTATGATGAAAAATACGACCAGCAAAGCCACGCCCATTCCAGCCATTTGCTCCTGGAAAATCAAGTGAAAATTAGTTTGGATAGGCATTTATACGAAAACTTGTATTTCATTAAATAAAATGCTTAATTAGAAAGAGAGACAACCCTAATATCAGAATGGTAATGCATGTATGTACTAGTTTTCTCCCTTTACAAGTTAAATTTTCATCAAAAATATTTTAGTTTAAATAAAAACATAAATGTATTTTAAAACATCGCTCGTAAATATTATGAATATGTCTACTTGATTTGATAGTTATATAAAAATGACGAAATTAACCCTTTTATACTATTATAACAAAATTTGCAAAATGAACCACGATATTTTGTTTTGTTTCGAGTAATGTACCCTTTTGATGGCTGCAGATATTTTTATATTTTTGGAATGTAAAACTGTAGAAGGAAATTATTTTGTGGTGTTCAATCTTCACAATGGAAAAATATATTTTGTACATACCACCGGAAACACCGGTAGTAGTCGTTGATCCCTGCTGCGTTTGCTTGTAATAGGCATCTTTCACAACTGTGCCAGGTGTAAGTGAAAACGGCCTCGCAACCATGGTTGCCTTAAAACAATTACAATTTTTAAAACCTTATTAATAGAAGAGTTTTTTTTTTTAATTTTATATATTGGCTGAATTTAGAAAAAAGTAGTCCAGTGAGACACCGGTGAAAATACGGAAAATATGTTTCACTGCAGTGAAAAGTATTTTTACTGTGAAAATACGGACAATAAAATACGCATTTTAGTTTTCAAATATTTCGATATTTCATTGATAAGTATGTACTGACATGATAGATGTATACTTACTGTAGCAGTTGGCGACTGCAGACTCACAATCATCTGGCCGGCGTTTTATTGCACCGGAAATAGATTTTTTGCGACAACGGCCAGACTGTTTTTCCGGCTTTGGGTTGCTGACGTCACTGTATAATTGGACATTTATTCCTTTGTCTATTTCATTGATATTTAGGAATTAAACGTTCTGGATTTAAACGTTATAAAAGTTTACAAAATTTCTACAACTTGTAAAGATATAGTCTAGTAAAAGAAAATCTGTTAATGTTGTAAATAATTGATAACTGTATTAAAGCTCAAATGGTTTACAATTAATAGCTTTTAAAAATAATTTTCTTCTTTGAGTCTGCTTTCGTGAATAACCCGCAGTATAAATCGTCATTAAGCAAAAAAAAAAGACCGTGAAACCCCTCCAGGGCGAAACCAAAAAAGTTAAAAATTTTAAAAAGGGGGACGCTTTTTCCTGTAAGCCAGCCCCTAAGAAAAATTTAACCCGAGAGCGGGCTTTTTTAAAAATTTTGTTTTTAAAAAAACACCCCAAAAAAAGGGGAAAAACATAAAAAGAAAAAAATAGTTTTTAAAAACCCATTTTGGGGTAAAACCCCCTGGGGTATAAAATTTATTTGTAGGGGTTGGGAAACAGTGCATTTTCCATATTTGTGGTGCCCTTTTCCAAAAAATGTAAAATTTTAAAGGTTTTTAAAGTTGTTGTCAGAGTAGTCGGGCTGCAAAAATAAAAAAAAATTAAAAGTGTTTTTGTTGGCAAGGATTTTTAAAGGGGCCGATTTAAATTTTTGGGCGTCCCTGTTGTCGCTAGCGAAAAGAAAGACAAATGGCCAAACGACGCGTTGTCGGACTTTTCGTCTCGTCGTCCTGTCGCGAACGATGCAAGCCAAACGGCGCGTTGGCGTCCGACGTGTTGATGTAACATAGTCGCTTGGCTCGAATGATTGGCGACATTGCGACAACGCGCCGCACGACAACACGCCGTTTAGCGTGCTTCGCTAGCGAACAGGACGACAAGACGATAGTGCGATAACGCACCAATTTGGCGCAATACGCTAGCGACAATACGATATAAAACGATATAGGTTGTGTTATCGCTACCGACAATGCAACGCGCAAAATGTACTAAATCAGCTACCATAGATTTTAGTTCCATTTCTAAACCTAAAATATTCTGTCATGCTTTTGCGTCCGGATAGCAAAATCCGTCCCGAGGATGTCCCGGCATTGGGCGGTAAACGCTACTAAGGCTGGTGCCCTAGGGACGGATAGTCCGATCTGAACCACAAAGATATCTCAAATATTTTTATTGCATATTCTACCATATTCTACGGCATTCTAAATAAAAATTGTCTCAATTAATTAAATTTCATGGAAATCAATTCCAGTTTGTCCGTATATATTTTATCATAGTAGAGTATGAATGCATGTATATAACTTCATTAATAACGGCGAAATGACGTTATCCTAGGCACACAGTTTCAGTCTAAAAATGGTCGAAATGACGTCATTTTAACGTTCTTCCTTCAATGACGGTATTTTAAAGTAATTTCCGGCACCCGTCCTAAATGCATTAAAAGAGCACAAAACTCTTCCCGGATTCTGACCTGATTAGGCCTCCTTGTTTTAAATATAATTTAAACTATGAATTACCAAAAAAGTGGAAGACCGTTGGGGACATTTCAACTATATGAAGTCACGATGTCATCTTCATGAATTCTCGATTTCAGTTTCACGACTTCACGATTTTATTTTTTCACGAATTCAACTTCGTGAATTAACGGTTTTAATTTCATGAGTTCACGATTTCAACATCACGAATTCACGATTTCAACTTCATGAATTCACGACTCAAACTTCATGAATTCACGATTTCAACTTCTCGAACTCACGATTTCAACTCTTTGAAAACTCGTGAAGTTGAAATCGTGAATTCGTGAATTCCGTATGTTGAAAACTGGAATTCACATTCAAATTGTGAATTCGTGAAGATGAAATTGAGAATTCACGAAGTTGAAATGACACTATCGGTTTTTCGTAGGAACTCGATGGAATACCTGCACATTGTTAATACGAAGCATAGACAGTGGAATTTTGTTGACAGTTCCGGCTTTTACAATAGCTCTGATAATGGCGTAGCGGAACCCTTCCATATTTCCATTTACTGTTTTCCGGTAACTTCCTGTAACAAACGAAACACAATTTTGTTTATTTTTTCTGTTTTTTGTTGTTCTATGATGTTTATTTTCCCCGACAAAAGGTATAATTATTACGTAAGTCGAGGGCGTACTCTTATATTCCATACAATGTACATACAACATATGAAATACAATAACAACACATAATTATGAACTTAATGAATAATCCACAATTCTATAACTACTTAAAAAACTGCTTGTTTGTAACGTCGCTTTTCATTGGATAATAGTGACATTTATATAGTTTTATATACACGGCTGCTGTCGATTTATAAACAAATCTTACATTTTCTCTAAATAATTAATAAATTTGTTATAGATATTCCTGACAGGTTATATGGCCGTATATTAACTGTTATTTGCATCTATCGGCTCGGGTAATATTTCCAAACAACCATTTACATAGGGCTATATAACTTGTCAAAAATCTTTATAACTAATAATATAATCACATGTTATTCAATCAATAAGGAAGTAATAATAATAATGTTTTGGTTATTTGTACTTTGTAAAACACAAAATGTCAATTATACCAGAAAATGAAAACTCGTATGGAAATATACGGACTGCTGTAACTATTTAAGTATTACATTCGCAATTAACTAATAGATGGCCCAAACATTTAGCTGCGTTCAGCCCGAATCACACCGTCACGCATGCGCATTATGCAACGTCAGTTGTCCACTCCTCCACCCATCTTAGATGAAGCGCAATAATCAACTTAAACAGTTGGGAAATTTTAAAACTTTCAAAAATCATCTTATGCTTAGTATGTTACTGTAGTAATTTAAAAAAGTTCAACTTTCGTTAATAATATAAATATTATAAAATAAATGTACCTGGCAGTTTAAAAGAAAAGTCTTTACGTTCAGTGTAGTTAAAACAATTACTGATGTCATACGACCAAATCATTGGTCGGTTTTCTTGATAGTTGTAAATATTGTAAACATAATGCTGACCCTGAAAGTAGAAATAAAATGGTAAAACGTTTATTTCCGCCTTTCTTCGACCTTTTCCGTAATTCTTCCGATGAATGAACAAATTTACGAAACATTGTCAAATTATTTAACAAAAATACGTCTGCTTAGGGCTATTTATTGCTCAAATCTATGTGAAATTATTTTTTGTACTTTAAACTATACTTAATACGTGAATATGTTAGCAATTTAACCAAAAATTAATCGCAAAGGTATATTAATCATTATAGTTTAAACGGCGTTACAGAGTCACGTGATTTATAAATAGACGCTTATTAAAAAATCAAGACAACAAGCGTCTAAAGAATATCACAAAATTTGACATACCAGTCCAGCATCCAAAACCATTCTTGTCGGGTTACCAAATGATGTTGGTGCATTAGTTGTATAGTTCCGCTGAAAATATAAACATACGGGTGACATGACGTAATAAAATGCAAGTGACGTCATGAGATATTTAGATATCAATCAAATAAGACTTATAAGCCCACAAACACTTGGGGTTTGGAGCTCAAAACGCCTTTAAAATCCAAATAAGATGCATATTAGTAAATCCCAGCACATGTACTGATCATATATATCAAAAAAACTTAATATAAACCGTTTTGAAAAAATTTCATATTTCAACATCATTCTTAGTTCTGGCTTCCATAACTTTATAATTATGTCGCTTTTATTTTGACGTTGCGACAGTAAAGTTATGGGTCAACCCTATTTGCTAAGGCTACCAGAATTTGACAGTTCGCACCCCGTACGTAAAAACCTATTAAAATCACTCTTATTAATCAAATGGGTCAAATAAAAATACCATTTGATAAACAAATCAATTTTGAACCAATTCATGTTTTGTTTTTAAATGAAACTTCAATGACATTGTTAACCCAACTATTTTTAGAGAATTATGTAGAAAATGTTTACCAATATGGAGTCTGCTTTCATATTTTGGAAATTCTAGCATCTATTTTTAGTAACTCACCGTAAACTATTATTAGTAAGTGTATGATTTTATATAAAAACAAAAAAAATAATTCATGAATCATCACTCAAAACAATATAAATCCAACATGTTTTTGGTACAATGTCTGTTATTGAATAAATACACCGTTATTCATAATTGCAAAGCCATGTTTTCAATTAAAAATAGCATTTTGGTCACGTGTCACCAAATGTCATGCAAAGGTATCTGAACCTAAATTCTCGCTGGTCACGTGATAATTAGGGCAGCAATGGCGGTGAATTTTATGAAATTTGAACCCGCTGATAAACTTTGAGGCAATATTTCACCAATCAAACATTCTGTGAACAAAAAAATAGACTGAAGGGTCCCAAATATATCTAACTACCTGTATTGAAATAGCTTTTGTCCAGATCACGCAAATTTATTGAATTACAGCATGAATTAAAAATGTCACGGTTCTGGTTGACTTTCGATACGGGGTTGGCTTCAGCGAACAGGTCTAGCAATACAATAAAACCTGTTCGCTGAAGTATCTTTAGCTAGTATGTGAGAAGTTAGCAGTGAACAGTGAGCTAAGCAAAAAGGCATTTCAATTTATAAAGGGAAGGTAATGATCTGCTGTAATGCTCAGCTGTATTGGGCATCTAGCAGGGCATTCCTAAATATAGTGTAAAAATGCCCTGCTGCAATACTCAGCTGTCTTTGAAATCTAGCAGAGCATTCCTAGCTTTAGTGAAAAAATGCTCTGCTGGAACGCTCAGCTGGCTAGGCAATCTAACAGTGCATTACTAAATATAGTGTTAAAATGCTCTGCTGGAATGCTAAGCTAGCTTGGCAATCTAGCAGAGCATTACTAAATATAGTGAACAAATGCTTTTCTGGAATGCTCAGCTGGCTAGGCAATCTAGCAGGGCATTGCTAAATATAGTGTAAAAATGCTCTGCTGGAATGCTAAGCTGGCTAGGCAATCTAGCAGGGCATTCCTAAATATAGTGTAACAATGCTCTGGTGGAATGCTAATCTGCTAGGCAATCTAGCAGAGAATTACGAAATATAGTGTAAAAATGCTCTGCTGGAATGCTAAGCTGGCTATGCTATCTAGCAGGGCATTACTAAATAAAGTGTTAAAATACTATGCAGGAATGCTCAGCTGGCTAGGCACTATAGCAGAGCATTCCTAAATATAGTGTAAAATGCTCTGCTGGGATGCTAAGCTGGCTAGGCAATCTAGCAGAGCATTAATTAATACAGTGTAAAAATGCTCTGCTGGAATGCTAAGCTGGCTAGGCAATCTAGGAGGACATTACTATATACAGTGTAAAAATGCTCTGCTGGAATGCTAAGCCAGCTAGGAAATCTAGCAGAGCATTGCTAAATATAGTGTAAAAATGCTTTTCTGGAATGCTAAGCTGGCTAGGCAATCTAGCAGAGCATTACCAAAATATAGTGAACAAATGCTTTTCTGGAATGCTAAGCTGGCTAGGCAATCTAGCAGGGCATTACTAAATATAGTGTAAAAATGCTTTTCTGGAATGCTAAGCTGGCTAGGCAATCTAGCAGAGCATTACGAAATATAGTGTAAAAATGCTCTGCTGGAATGCTAAGCTGGCTAGGCAATCTAGCAGGGCATTACTAAATAAAGTGTTAAAATGCTCTGCAGGAATGCTCAGCTGGCTAGGCACTATAGCAGAGCATCCCTTAATATCGTGAAAAAATGCTCTGGTGGAATGCTCAGCTGGCTAGGCAATCTAGCAGGGCATTACTAAATATAGTGTAAAAATGCTCTGCTGAAATGCTAAACTGGCTAGGCAATCTAGCAGGGCATTCCGAAATATAGTTAAAAATGCTCTGGTGGAATGCTCAGTTGGCAGACTAATTCTGAGTTCCAGGATTAATTGTTGCCAAAGTTTTATTGACATTTTCGACTTCTAGGCAATCCTGAGGCACTCGCAGACTTTCAGGTATTTTCGGTGCCAATAGAAATAATGATATTTTTTACTTCTAAGGACCTTAAAGAAACTATTTTATTGTCCTGCGACTTTTTTAAGGACACTCGCAGACTTTCAGGAATTTTGGTGCCAAAGCTGATATTGACAATTAAGACTTCTAGGGACCCTCAAGAGTCCATAACTTTATAATTATGTCGCTTTTATTTTGACGTTGCGACAGTAAAGTTATGGGTCAACCCTATTTGCTAAGGCTACCAGAATTTGACAGTTCGCACCCCGTACGTAAAAACCTATTAAAATCACTCTTATTAATCAAATGGGTCAAATAAAAATACCATTTGATAAACAAATCAATTTTGAACCAATTCATGTTTTGTTTTTAAATGAAACTTCAATGACATTGTTAACCCAACTATTTTTAGAGAATTATGTAGAAAATGTTTACCAATATGGAGTCTGCTTTCATATTTTTGGAAATTCTAGCATCTATTTTTAGTAACTCACCGTAAACTATTATTAGTAAGTGTATGATTTTATATAAAAAACAAAAAAAATAATTCATGAATCATCACTCAAAACAATATAAATCCAACATGTTTTTGGTACAATGTCTGTTATTGAATAAAATACACCGTTATTCATAATTGCAAAGCCATGTTTTCAATTAAAAATAGCATTTTGGTCACGTGTCACCAAATGTCATGCAAAGGGTATCTGAACCTAAATTCTCGCTGGTCACGTGATAATTAGGGCAGCAATGGCGGTGAATTTTATGAAATTTGAACCCGCTGATAAACTTTGAGGCAATATTTCACCAATCAAACATTCTGTGAACAAAAAAATAGACTGAAGGGTCCCAAATATATCTAACTACCTGTATTGAAATAGCTTTTGTCCAGATCACGCAAATTTATTGAATTACAGCATGAATTAAAAATGTCACGGTTCTGGTTGACTTTCGATACGGGGTTGGCTTCAGCGAACAGGTCTAGCAATACAATAAAACCTGTTCGCTGAAGTATCTTTAGCTAGTATGTGAGAAGTTAGCAGTGAACAGTGAGCTAAGCAAAAAGGCATTTCAATTTATAAAGGGAAGGTAATGATCTGCTGTATTGCTCAGCTGTATTGGGCATCTAGCAGGGCATTCCTAAATATAGTGTAAAAATGCCCTGCTGCAATACTCAGCTGTCTTTGAAATCTAGCAGAGCATTCCTAGCTTTAGTGAAAAAATGCTCTGCTGGAACGCTCAGCTGGCTAGGCAATCTAACAGTGCATTACTAAATATAGTGTTAAAATGCTCTGCTGGAATGCTAAGCTAGCTTGGCAATCTAGCAGAGCATTACTAAATATAGTGAACAAATGCTTTTCTGGAATGCTCAGCTGGCTAGGCAATCTAGCAGGGCATTGCTAAATATAGTGTAAAAATGCTCTGCTGGAATGCTAAGCTGGCTAGGCAATCTAGCAGGGCATTCCTAAATATAGTGTAACAATGCTCTGGTGGAATGCTAATCTGCTAGCAATCTAGCAGAGAATTACGAAATATAGTGTAAAAAAATGCTCTGCTGGAATGCTAAGCTGGCTATGCTATCTAGCAGGGCATTACTAAATAAAGTGTTAAAATACTATGCAGGAATGCTCAGCTGGCTAGGCACTATTAGCAGAGCATTCCTAAATATAGTGTAAAAATGCTCTGCTGGGATGCTAAGCTGGCTAGGCAAATCTAGCAGAGCATTAATTAATACAGTGTAAAAATGCTCTGCTGGAATGCTAAGCTGGCTAGGCAATCTAGGAGGACATTACTATATACAGTGTAAAAATGCTCTGCTGGAATGCTAAGCCAGCTAGGAAATCTCTAGCAGAGCATTGCTAAATATAGTGTAAAAATGCTTTTCTGGAATGCTAAGCTGGCTAGGCAATCTAGCAGAGCATTACCAAAATATAGTGAACAAATGCTTTTCTGGAATGCTAAGCTGGCTAGGCAATCTAGCAGGGCATTACTAAATATAGTGTAAAAATGCTTTTCTGGAATGCTAAGCTGGCTAGGCAATCTAGCAGAGCATTACGAAATATAGTGTAAAAATGCTCTGCTGGAATGCTAAGCTGGCTAGGCCAATCTAGCAGGGCATTACTAAATAAAGTGTTAAAAATGCTCTGCAGGAATGCTCAGCTGGCTAGGCACTATAGCAGAGCATCCCTTAATATCGTGAAAAAATGCTCTGGTGGAATGCTCAGCTGGCTAGGCAATCTAGCAGGGTATTACTAAATATAGTGTAAAAATGCTCTGCTGAAATGCTAAACTGGCTAGGCAATCTAGCAGGGCATTGCGAAATATAGTTAAAAATGCTCTGGTGGAATGCTCAGTTGGCAGACTAATTCTGAGTTCCAGGATTAATTGTTGCCAAAGTTTTATTGACATTTTCGACTTCTAGGCAATCCTGAGGCACTCGCAGACTTTCAGGTATTTTTAAAAAAAAAAAAAAATTTTTTTTTTTTTCCCAAAAAAAAAATTTTTTTTTAAAAAATTTTTAAAATTTGGGGGCCCCCCCCCCCCCCCCCCCCCTTTTTCCCCCCCCCCCCCCCCCCCCCCCCCCCCCCCCCCCCCCCCCCCCCCCCCCCCAACCCAAACCCCCCCCCCCCCGCCCGCCCCTTTTTTTTTCCCGGGAATTTGGAAAGTTTTTAAAAAAAACCCCCCTTTTTTTAAAGGGGCCCCCCCCCCCCCCCCCCCCCCCCCCAAACCCCCAAAAAAGGGAAAAAAAATAAATAAAAAACCCCCCCCCCCGGGGAAACCTGGTCCCCAAAAAAAGGGGGGGAAAAATTTTTTAAAAAAAAAAAAACTTTTTTTTTTAAAAAAAAAATTTTTTTGGGTTAACCCCCCCAAAAAAAAACCCAAAAATTTTGGGGGGCCCCCTTAACCCCCCAAATTTAAAACCCCCCAAACCCCCCAAAATTTTTAAAAAATTTCCCCCAAACCCCTTTAAAAAAAAAAAAAAAACCCCCAAAAAAAAACCCCCGGGATTTTAAAAATTTAAAAAAATAAATTCCTTTTGGAAAAATTTCCCCGGGAAAATTGTCCCCTTTTAAAATTTTCCCCCCCCAAAAAATTTAACCCGGGGGGCCCTTTAAAAAAAAAAAAAAAAAATTTTTTTAAACCCCGGGGTCCTTTTCCCCGGGGCCCAAAAAAAAAAAAAAAGGGGGAAAAATTTTTTTTTGGAAAAAAACCCTTTTCCGGGGGAAAACCCCTCGCAACCCCAAAAAAAAGGGAAAAAATTTTTAAAAAACCCCTTTTTTTTTTCCCCCCCAAATCCCCCCCCAAAAAAAAAAAAAAAAATTTTTTGGGGGGAAAAAAACAAAATTTTTTTAAAAACCCCCCAAAAAACCGGAAATTTTGGGTTAAAAAAAAAAAAACCCCCCCCGGGGGAAAAATTTTAACCCCAACCCCAAAAATTTTTAAAAAAATTTCCTTTTTTTTTGGAACCCCAAAAAAATTTAAAATTTTTAAAATTTGGTTTTTGGGAAAAAAAAAAAAAAATTTTAAAAAAATTTTGGGGCCCCGGGGGGCCCCCCCCGGGCAAAATTTTTTTAAAAAATTTAAACCCCCCCTTCCCAAAAAGGCCCAAAAAAAACCCCCAAAAAAAAGGTCCCTTTGGGAAAAAGGGTTTTTTAAAAAAAAAAAAAGGGGGGGGGGGAAAAAAAAAAAAATTTAACCCCAAAAAAAAAGTTGGTTTTTTTCCCCCCAAACCAAAATTTTTTAAAAAAACCCCAAAAAAAAAAAAACCCCAAAAAAAAAACCTTTTTTTTTCCCCCCTTTTTTCCGGGGCCCAAAAAAAATTTTTAAAAAAAATTTGGGTTTTCCCCCCCAAAAAAAAAACCCCCAAAAACCGAAATTTTCCCCCCCAAAAAAAAAAAAAATTGGGAAAAACCAAAAAAAAAAAGGGTTTTTTTTTTAAAATTTTAAAATTCCCAACCCAAAACCATTCAGGAAAAAATTTTTCCTTTTTTTTTCCCCCTTTTTGCCTAACCCCAAAAAATTCCGGGAAAAAAAATTTTTTTTTTTTTTTTTCCCCCCCCCTTTTTTTAAAAAAAAAATTTTAATTTTTTAAAAGGGGGGGTTTTTTTTCCCCAATTTTGCCAAAAATTTTTCCCTTTTTTTTTAAACCCCTTTTTTTTTGGGGGGCCCCGCAAAAATTTTCCCCAAAATTTTTAAAAAAAGGTTTTTTTAAAAAAAAAAAAAAAAAATTTTTAAAACCCCCCCCAAAATTTTTCCCCCCCGGAACCCAAAAAAATTTTTTTTTTTTTTTTTTCCCCCTTTTAAAAAGCCTTTTAAAAAAAATTTTTCCCCTTTTTTTTTCCCCCAAAAACCGGGTTTTTAAAAAAGGGGTTTTAAAAAATTTTGGGCCCCAAAAAAAAATTTTTTTTTAAAGCCCGGGTTTTTTCCCCCCTTTTTAAAAAATTTTTTAATTTTTTCCTCCCAAAACCCCCCCCCTTTTTTTTTTTTGGCCCCCGGGGTTTAAAAGGACATAAACCCAAAAAAATTTTTTTTTTTTTTAAAATTTTTGCCCAAAAAAAAATTTTTCAAAATTTTAAAAACCCCAAAAAAAAGGGGGAAAAAACCCCCCAAATTTTAAAACCCCCTTTTTTCCCCCCAAAAAAAAATTTTTTTTTTTAAAAACCCCAAAAAAATTTTCCCCCCCTTTTTTTTTAAAAAAAAACCCCCCAAAAAAAGCCCAAAAAAAAATTTTTTTTTTTTATTTTTTTTTAAACCCGGGGAAAAAAAAAAAAAATTTTTTTTTTCCCAAAAAAGGGGGGCCCCCCCCAAAAAAAAATTTGGGGGGTTTTTTTGGGTTTCCCCCAAAAAAAAAAAAATTTTTTTTCCCCCCCCTTTGGGGAAAATTTTTTTTTTTTAATTTTTTTAATTTAAAAAAAAATTTTTAAAAAAAAAAAAACCCCTTTGAAATTAATTCAAAATTTCCCCCCCCCCCAAAAAAAAAAAAAAAAAAATTTTTTAAAAAAAAAAAAAAAATTTTTTTTAAAAAAAAAAAGGGGGGGGGAAAAAAAAATTAAAGGGAAAAAAGGAAAAATTTAAAAAAAAAGGAAAAAACCCCCCCAAAAAAAAAAAAAATTTGGGTTTTTTTAAAAAAAATTTTTAAAAACCCCCCTTTTTTAAAAAACCCCCCCCTTTTTTTCCCCCCCCCCCTTTTCCCCCCCCCCCCCCCAAAAAATTTTTTTTTTCCCAAAATTTTCCCCTTTTTTTAAAAGGGGGTTTTCCCCCCCCTTTTTTTTTTTTTTAAAAAAAAAATTTAAAAAAAAAAAAAAAATTTTTAAAAAAAAATTTTTTTTTTTTGGGGGTTTTTTTTTTAAAAAAATAAATTTTTGGGCCATTTGGTTTTTAAAAAAAAAATTTTTTAAAAAGGGGGAAATTTTTAAAAAACCCAAAAAAAAAAAGAAAAACCCCATAGCTCATTTTTAACTGCTAAACTTCTCACATACCTTTAGCTACATCATTCTATAATAATACACAAGATAAAAATGTTAGCCGGAAAAAATCCGCACCCCTACCGTCATAATCACCATGTATTTTATTCCATTTCCAATATTTTCACATAATCCTTTGGTCCATCGACACAGAAGATATAATTCTTCACGATGATGGTCAATTTTAAACTTCAACGGTAATATAAACAACGCAACAGCCGAAATAAACATCAAGATTATTGCCGTTTTCCTCCATTGACAAAATCTTTCGATAAATTTCCATCTCCAGTCGGCTATGAACGAAGTCATCCGATTATGTTGGTTCCCAAACTTAAAAGCGCTGCGCATTTTGCACAGGGCAAAGCTGGGGCCACGTTTGAATTTAAGTATCTGAGACTTTTTAATCTAATGACTTTTGGATTTTAAAGGTGTTTTAAGCTCCAAACCCCAAGTGTCTGTGTTATGTTTTTTTTCATCAAATATACTTTTTTTTCAATTTCTGAATCACTTTAAATATTCAAAGAAAAAACTTAGTAAAGTCATTACAATAATGTTACCGTGCGGTACCTAGCTAGTCTTTTTTATAAAGTTCTTAAAACAAATACTCTATTTATTTTGAAATTCATTGTGATTTTCTACAAAAATATAAGTCTGCAGGTTGCAGGTAGCAGGATAGTTAAGCTTACGGAATTAAACGGAAACATACGGAAATAATCGAATAACAAAGGCCACCCACAATGGCAAAACTAGAAATGTTGAAGGTTTCGATTAAAACGAGCTTTTTTATCGACGTTTACATAAATGTTAGCTATCGTTCACGTCCCCCGCCCCATCCAAACCCCACCCCTCCCTCGTCCCCCCCTCCCCCAGTACCATCTAAAAGTTACTTACTTTCGCAAAATACCATTCCCACGTAGAATTAGCAGAGTTCGGTCTAGGCCAATCGTTTCTTTGAGCTATCCATACGTCACTGGTAATACTACGGACAAGTCTCTGAAAAACAAGAAGATATCATTTTCTTAAAAGTGGCATTATGATCATTCCTTTTTTTTTGGGCTATCTTGTTGAGTTGAATAGTTAATATATATCTAAAGCTTGACTATTGTGTTAAGATGATTAACCAATAAATGATGATAAAAATGTTTTGATACAATTTATAAATGACCGACCGGATATCTATTATTAAAAGACTGACCCACTCTTTAAAAAAATAAAATAAAAACAAATTGGATATTACCAATACGTTCTCGATGGTTTTTGGTAAAGTAGTTTTATTGACTTTTTTATGTAGAAAAATATAGAATTAAATGATATATAATAAATACAAGTATGACAAAGCATAATGTTAATTGAATTAGCCTGTGTTTACACAACTATTTTCACATTGATTTAGATAATGTAACTTGAACTTATATATTATTTTGGCTGGATTTACCGACACGAAAAAACGTTTGCATCACTGTAAATGCCTCGTCAATTACGATGTAAACTTTGGGGTTTTAGTCGTGTTTGTGGCGCCGTTACATGTCGAACTCCGCTAAATGTCGGACTTTCTAGCTTGTCCCCTGATTACGTACATGACGTTAACTTCGACATTTTACCAGTTGCTTAACATGAATTGAGATATTGCGATATTTTACATTAGTGTTATGACATTTAACGGGAAATTGGTGCGACATTTAACGCCATCATTGCAACAATTAACAGAAAAAATATTTTTAGAAATTTAACGGTGTTTGCGACATTTAGCGACAATAGTGCGACGTTTAGCATTTAGCGTCGTTAGGACATATAACGGCGCCAGTGTCTGCACTTCGCATGTCCCAAGCGGTCTTCGGTGAAAGTGTACAAATATTTTCCTAATTGGTTCACAAATATTTTTGTTAGGTTTCATGGCGGTCTTCCGGTGCAAGTGTTCAAAGATTTTCCTAATTTGTTCACTAATACTCTTGTTAGATTTGATGTCACGTAATCTATTTTGATGTATTACGTTGATTACTTTTTTTATTTATTTCATTTCATGTAACACCGGCACCTTAAATGTCAGCACAGTATCCAGTCTTACACCTTGTTTAGACACTCGTTTGCACACTGAGTAGAACGACCGACCTTCCCTTAGCGAGTCCCTTACGTGTTGATGAGTTTCATGTAATTAGAAGTAACATTTCATGTAAATAGACGTTACAAAAACTAAACCATTCAGGACATGGTGTCACAGAGTAAACAGTTTGAAATTTACGAAAAAAAAAAAGAACCAATTAGACGAGAAACCGTTAATTAAAAAATTAAAAAGATTTTTTTAGTTAATATACTGCTATTTAAAGTTATATGTGTTTAGAAGTAAGGTACCTGTCCCTCATAGATATAAGAAGCTTTGTCGAAGTAAAAGAACTCCTTTGACGTCCTTATACGCACGTGCGTAGGATCTGCATTTCTGACGTCAAATCCGGTGTTAGCAATTGGCGTCGCTGTGCAGTTCCCTCTCAAAGTATCAATAACATAGGCAACACCTAAAAACAGAATGTGCATGTGTGTTTTATTTTAATTCTGAGAGATGCCCTTCTATAAATGCTCTGTACATAAATGTACATGAATATCTAATAGCTTTGATCTATTCTTTACAAAAGAAAAGTAAACATAAGATTATATAGGTTCTTTGAAAAAGATCTGTTGTTTTGATCGATATTTTAAAAAAGTAAAGTATAACTAAGAATATAAGTACATGTTAATTGTTTTCTTACATTATTTTTTTTCTTCTTAACTTGAACCAAACAACAAATTAACATTTATATCATTACTGTCAATTTACATATATTGTCTATGTTAAATACAGATCGGAAAAAAGTCATGTTTGAATCGCAAATATTTCGTTACGAATGGTTTTGCTTAAATAATGTCGTAACATGTTATGGAAAATGAATTAAAATAAGCAATTTTATACTCATCAAATTTTTACACTAATAGAATCACTAAACTATTATTTATTTATTCATGGGCACACTAAGTTACTGTTGAAGGTACCTTATATCAACGTACCGTGAATTTTTTTTTATGTCACGTGAATAATTTCATAGTAACGTGAGACACAGAGAGGCTTACCTGTAGTAAAGTCGTGGACCTGTGTTAAAGGTAGGGACCCGTACTTTCTATCAGCTCCTAGAGGATCGTAATCGTAACGTACAAGGTTCATGTCGCTGTCATACCATTCCTATAACGATCAAACGTTGTTTTACGTTAACGTAGCGTTATAGCGTTTATGATTCTTTCTTGTATCAAAAGGGTGTATTTATTTTTGGTTTGAAACCGGAATACAGATACAGTGTATTAGAAAATAGATTCAATATTAATAGATCTATTTCCATTCCAACATGCTAATATAAAAGAGAATCGATACAGATTTTCTGAACTATTTTTGAGCGTAGAAGTAATATTCCTTACGTCATTTCGTTTATTGGCGTTATTTTTAACGTCATATGGCGTGTTTACAAACATTCATTTTTTTTGTGATGTGCATAATTATATCGTGTACTAATGCACTTGACAGCCCTATCTGTTAGTGTGAAACGTGTTAAAATACATATGAAGCATCGATCAAATGAACATTGTATTCTGTGATGAAATGAATGCATTCGAATGATGAAATACATAATTATATTTGACGATAAAATAAACAGACAAGCCACACAAAAACGAACATTCAGTAATTATTTATTTATTGCATTTTTTTTAAATAACATATATTGATGATGACGTCACGTTTTACGTCATAATAAAACACAAGGCTGTATATAGTTACCTTAATGCGGGAAATAGACTGTCCGTAGATAATCTCGGCGGTAAAATGAAAAGATGAGGTAGGTGTCGGTAAAGGTTTAATGTTCTTCGCTCTTGGACAATAAACTCCGGTGGGCGTCTGAAAAAAAATGTTAATTCATTGCTAAAGTAATGTCGATACAATTAGTTTGTTTGAACGTGTTAAGCCAGATTACATAATTATTCCTACAAACCAGATTCAAGGCCACCCTAAAGGATAAGGATAGTTTGGATTTAACCCTCAAACGCTGTCATATGTTTTCCCTTTTGGACTTGTGATGAAGTCAGCAAATTCATACATAATGATCAAATGTTCGCTTTTACCATTGGACATTAAGGTGTTGCCGTAAACATGCGCGCGCACAGGTAATTGAGGCGTTAATCGAGCTGTTTGCCAAAGTGGAGCTGAAAATAAAATAGAAATAAATAAATAAATAAATAAATAAATAAATGAATAAATAAATAGATAAATAAATGAATAAATAATAAATAAATAAATAAATAAATAAATAAATAAATAAATAAATAAATAAATAAATAAATAAATAAATCTAACACTCCTCGTGATTGAGTTACTATACACAATTAGGGACTAAATGTACGTGCGGCTGTTATTTTTTACTCCCTCTGATAACATAGTTTACAAACCTTTAAATTTTTAAGGCAGCAATTATAACGCATTTTTATTGATATTTCTTCCGTCCTTTAATTTTGGAACAAGCTCAGCTTACCACTAAAATACCAGTCAACTACCATCGTAGATTTTCGTGCTATCCCCAGTCAAACAGGACGCCAAATAAATTGCACTGATCCCGCGCACTACTGTTTTGTTTGATCCCATTCTTGAAATTCCGGTCCATTAAAGTGAAGAACTCACCTGGGCGTTTTTTTCAAAAAATGAAAAAAAAAAACCCGCCTTTAATCCCCGACTGGTGTCCCAAACAGGAACAACTGAGGGGAACGAAACAATGGTTGAACGGTGCATATACCTGAAACGAGGAATGGGAATCTATTATATAGCATAAATCACGAATGCATACCGATATACCAGACCAATTTTTTATATAAAGCATCAAACAGAGACGTAATGGTTTGATTTCTTATATGTATATAAGATCTTAGAATACAAAGTTAACGGTGTTTGCGACAGAATCAAGAAGGGCACATCTGCTCCAACAATTTAAGTTTGGATACAGAAATTTATGAAAATTATAGGTATGGATGCGAACAATGTAATAAAACAGTGACTACAATTAAAGAATGATATCTTGAATTTTATATTTTATATTTTGGTATAAAAGTAATAACTGATGATTATCATCATCATCATCATCATCATCATCATCATCATCATCATCATCATCATCATTACTATTATTATCATTATTATTATTATTATTATTTTTATTACTATTGTTTTAATTGTTATATATCATTTATATCAATATAAATTTAAGGAGACTTTAACTACCCAATATTTCTTTTATATTAAATTGCCTAACACAGTGTAGAAAAATTGTATGCACTTCAAAGAATTTCTGACTACATGCACCCGTATGTTTTATTTTCTAATTATTTACAAATGACGTCATTGTGGTGAATTTGAGACAAATGAGTTTAAGAAAAACATGTACAAATGCACAAGTAATCCCTTACCATTGTCTCGATCGACATGGAAAAAAAAATCGTTTTGTATCGAATCTTTAAAAGGTCCCCGGTTTTTCGTACCGGGGTTGTCGACATGAGTGGGCCCCCTTGTTTTTGGGCCTGGTCGTAATATAAAAGTAGCTGGGAATGTAGTTTTCGGTTGGGGAAATTTAAGGGCCCCAAAGTGAACCTAAACTGGTTTTCAAGCTTGGCGGTGGTGGGTCTTTGGGTAAAATGAAAAAAAAAAAGATTTTTTTCAAAAAAATTTGGCATATTTCGTTCCCCTTTTTTTGGGAAAATATTCCGTCACTTTTCCGGGATATTTTGCACCTCTTACAGCATTTAAACGTTGGGTTACAAAGGGTTTTAAAAACAGGAAAAAAAACAGAAATGAAGAATTTCTTTGTATAGATAATAAGAAAAATATGTTTTTTCATGTCAGGGGGGATAAACTTCAGTTTTTAATAATAGTAAAAAATTTTCCATTTGGGAACCCGCCTGGCTATTTCTACAAATTAAACCCCCTCCCCAAAAACTGACGGAAAGGGCCCAGTATTGCGATTGATAATTTACACCACTGAGTTACTTCCCCTTTATACTTAATATCTCCTATGAAAGGATTTTTAATTCAGAGACGTGTATTCATTATTCCTACACACATGATAGATAACGTAGACTGTAAAAATGTAAAAAATTCCCAAATCAGAATGGTTTAAACCTTGAACAAGCGGACACCTGTGTAGAACCACCGACCTTGGTTAGCTCTTCGGACTCCATATTTAAGGGTTATTGAGAGTCGCAAATTATAGCTACAAGGAGAAGGTTATTTAAAATAAGTGACTTTGGTAGACAAATCGGGCAATGGAGGCCAGAGTAACGGCTCAAATTCCACATATTACTCAGAAAATGAAATTTTATTTCTTCTTGAGAAGGGTACCAACAATATTAATAGTCAGTAACAGCTGAAGGTTGAAATTATTTTTGTGGTATTGTAGGCCTTTTAAAACGGAGTATTTGCGTGAACTAGCCCTAGAATTCTTCTAAGGATAAGGTAAGTCTTACCGTTAGGCCCTGGTATTTGGCCAGTGCATACTGTAGTGTCCATTTGTGCGGCTGTCAACGCCAAACAGGCGGACAATATAATTGTACTGAAAAACAAAAAGTTACATATTCAACTGTAGTTATCTCCCGGCGTTGGATTTCGTAATAGTTTCCGTCCTTCCTTCTGTCCGTCCGTCCTTCAGCTCGACCCTTTTGATCGGGGTGTCACTCAAAAACTATTTTAGATACGAAATTGAAACTTTATAGGTGGATAGATCTCATTTAGAGGGAGTACCATGCAGACAAATGATAACCATGCCATTTAATGTTTTTAATTACATGTATTACCCATTGCTATTTCATTATGTAAAAAAATATGGAAAGAAGAAGAAGAAGAAGAAGAAGAAGAAGAAGAAGAAGAAGAAGAAGAAGAAGAAGAAGAAGAAGAAGAAGAAGAAGAAGAAGAAGAAGAAGAAGGAGAAGACGACAAAGTAGGGAAAGAATAATAAGAAGAAAGAAAAGGAGAAGAAGCAGTAGGAAAAGAAGAAGAAGGAAAAGAAGAAGAAGATGAAAAAGGAGAATAAGAAGTCGGAAAAGAAGAAGAATGAAAAGAAGAAGAAGGTGAAAAAGGAGAAGAAGAAGTAGGAAAAGAAGAAGAATGAAAAGAAGAAGAAGAAGTAGGAAAAGAAGAAGAATGAAAAGAAGATGTAGAAGTAGGAAAAGAAGAAGAATGAAAAGAAGAAGAAGGAGTAGGAAAAGAAGATGAAAAAGAAGAAGAAGAAGTAGGAAAAGAAGAAGAAGAAGTAGGTAAAGAAGAAGAAGGAAAAGAAGAAGAATATGAAAAAGGAGAAGAAGAAAAATCAGGAGAAGAAGAAGTGAAAGAAGAAGATGATGAAGTAGAAGAAAAGGATGAAGAAGAAGAAGAAGAAGAAAAAGAAGAAGAAAAAGAAGAAGGAAAGAAGAAAAAGAAGAAGAAGAAGAAAAAAAGAAGAAGAATAGAAGAAGAAAAGAAGAAGAAGAATAAGAAGAAAAAGAAAAGGTCTTAGAAACCTAGAAAACTGTAGATTTGATTAATTTACTTATGTTTCTGTTTTTTTTTTATTTTATGCATGTATTTATCATTTTTGTATTTTCTGATCGTAAGATCAGTAAATACATAGCTAACATCCACGGTCTAACACAAAATTTCCTCATAGTCCTAACAACGCAAAGTAGTTCTCACTCAAAACTGCTTAAAACCAGCAATTTAAAAGAAAGAATAATTTTTAATGTAGGCATTTAACGAATTACAGTGCATTAAAAGTTTAGATTAGTCAACAGAAATATGAGGTTACAATCACAAATTTCGCGGATGAATATCTTTTTTACCCAATGAAAAATGTTCGGCTATTTCCGTAAAGCTTCGGATTATCATGATCAATGAAAATGCTTTTTGGCTTGCAGCCACGGCTGCAAGCCCATTTGTTTTGGAAAAGTTGTTCCGGTTAGGTGGTTTCCTGCTTACATTTGTTAGTGCATGATTGAACGAGAAACCAGCTGCAATCGTGCCAATCGCAACTTTTTGGCCCTTTCCGTCACTCTTCGGTTTATTGATTATAGCCGATGTAGTTCCGATTGCAATCGTGACAATACGGGCGATTCCGTCATACTGCGGAATCAGACGAAGTAATATTACGGAAATCTAAGCTATTTTTTAGTTACTTTCGGTAATCCCTGTTTGTTTATATAAATAGGATTCTATTTTTGCTTGATTTATCGGTTTTTAAACCGTAAATAAATTTATAAACGATCAATATCTTGAATTCATTTCGATCGTTTCCAAGAGACATGTTTTGTTACGCAAAGATTCTTCGAGATTACCACTCTAATGAACAAGAGTTAGATCGTATTAGAAACTGAATACTTTGAACACTTAAAGACAACTCATGTTGGCTTTCCATTTGGTTCTGATGCGGAATTAAAGCGACGCGTTGAGCACACGAACAGGAGATCCAGTGGCAATCAAACTTGCCCAGGATATTCATACAATTATAGACGTTGTACAGGGAGGCGACCCTATCAGTCTTAAGCAACTTATCAGTAATTGCAAGTCCAGGAAATCATCAGTATCAGCGATACCGAGAGAGAGATCAAACAATATTTCAGCCAGTGCATTAAATTCATGCTCCTGTAAAAATGAACTAACATTAGTAAAAGAAATGGTCTCTAGCATTCAGGCGGACATTTTGCTATTGAAACAATCGTACCATGCAAATGAGAGAGTACGTTCAGAACAGACTAAGTGTTGTAAATTCGAATGTCAGAATTATACGGGAAGACATTATGAAATGCAATCACGGAATTAAAAAATGTCATTTGGACACTGAACATACGATTGAGAAGTTTGACGTCATCTTTGATGCAACGCATAATAGAATTAGAAGACAGAATTAGACTTCTAGAGAGTTTTTTAGAAACAGAAGAGATAGTCACAATCTCGAGTTTAAATAAAAACACATTCTACGGCGAGAATAATGCCATACATGATGAGAACATCGAATCTGATGACGTCACAAATAATGCAGAGGACAATATTCACCCCTCCTACACC